AGCCATAGGTCTTGAACTCAGGGCCAGGGGGCTGTCCTTGAGTGTTTTTGCTAAAGGCTAGCACTCTGTCCCTAGAGCCACAGAGCCACTTCTGTTTTTTTAGCAGTTAACTGGAGGTAAGAGTCTCACAGGAACTTTTCTGCCTGGGCTGGCTTCAAACCAAGATCCTCAGATCTCAGCCTCCTGAATAGCTGGGATTACGGGCATGAGCTACTGGCCAGAGATTCTTATCTCCAATAAACCACCTAAAAAGGGAAGTGGTGTTATGGTTCTAGTGGTAGAGCGCTAGCCTACCAGGGACAGAGCCTAGGCCCTCAATTCAAGCCCAACAAAGGACAAAAAGAAAAGAAAAGCCCAGCGCCGGTGGCTGTAATCCTAGCTACTCAGGAGGCTGAGATCTGAGGATCACGGTTCAAAGCCAGTCCAACCAAGCAGGAAAGTCTGTGAGACTCTTATCTCCAACAAACCACTAGAAAACCAGAAGTGACACTGTGGCTTAAGTGGTAGAACACTCATCTTGAGCTGAAGAGCACAAGGACAGTACCCAGGCCCAGAGTTCAAGCCCCACGACCGAAAAAAAAATAAAGAAAAGAGTTGGGCTGGGAAGGTGGCTCAGTGGTAGAGTGCTTGCCTTGCATGCATGAGGCCCTGAGTTCGATTCCTCAGCACCACATAAGAAAAAAGCCGCAAGTGGCACTGTGGCTCAAGTGGTAGCGAGCTAGCCTTGAGCTGAAGAGCTGAGGGACAGCACCCAGGCCCAGAGTTCATGACCGGACCAAAAAAAGAAAAAAAGAAAAGGTCAGCCTTTCCTACCCAGGTTGACTTCAAATCTAGATCCTCATATCTTAACCTCCTGAGTAGTTGGGACTACAGGCGTAAGCCACCCGTGCACAGCTTTTCATTTGACTTTTATGCTCCAGGCTGGTTCTCTACTATTTCAGCCACACTTCCATTTCCAGCTTCTTAGTGATTACTTGGAGACAGAGTCTCACAGACCCTTCTACCCAGCTGGCATCCAACCTCAATCCTCAGACTGCAGCCTTCTGAGTAGCCTGGATTACAGTGTGAGCCACCAGTGCCTGGCCAGGCTACAAAGTCCTCCCCCACCCTGATATAGCCCCTGTGGCCTCCACTCACCGGATTGTCCACCCAAACTCCCTCTCTCAAGAAACCACTAGTTGCCCGGCACTGGTGGCTCACACCTGTCATCCTAGCTACTGAGGAGGCTGAGATCTGAGGATCAAGATTCAAAGCCAGCCCAGGCAGGAAAGTTCGTGAGACTTGAATCTTCAACAAGCCACTCAGAAAACTGGAAGTGGCGCTGTGGCTCAAGTGATAGAGCACTCACCTTGAGCTGAATTGCTGAAGGACAGCGCCCAGGACCAGAGTTCAAGCCCCACGACCAGAAAAAAAAGAAAAAAAAAGCTGAAGCCACTGGCCGTCTGGCTCCTGCCGGTCTTTGCTCTCTCCATCTATCTGCCTGCCCAGTTTCACCCCCATTTCTGCTCTGTGTGTTCACACCATAGGGATGGACACACACTTGGCTCCAGATCAGGACTTTGTGTTGATGCTTAGCAGCACACTCCTGCCTGTTTATCATGCTTTGGCTTGGTTCTGGGTGTCCTAAGAGCTCATGTGTCCACAGCATGGCTCCCTGGTCGGTACTATTGGGAGGTGGTAGGAACTTTACATGGGGACTAGTAGGAGGGTCATTGGTCACTGACGTCATGACCTCAAAGGGACCTGTGGGAACCTCCCTATTCCTCATTCATTCTCTCTTTCTCTCTCTCCTCCCCCCTTTTCTCTTTCTCGCTCTCTCTCTCTCTTTATCTGGCCCCTCCATGGCCAGGAAAGTTACACAGCACAATGTGTAACTTCACCCACAGGCCCCCCAAACAATAACCCCAACAAATCACAGTCTGGAACTTCCAAACTGTGAGGCAAAATAAATTGATCATCTCATATATTTTTTTAAAATTTATTGTTATTATAAAGGTTACAGTTACGTAAGTCTGGGAATGAGTATATTTCTTTAGTCTTTCCCTCCACCCCCCAGTCCAGGGGCTTGAACTCAGGGCCTGAGCCCTGTCCCTGAGCTTCTTTTGCTCATGGCTAGCACTCTACCACTTGAGTCACAGCACCATTTCCGGCTTTTCCTGAGTAGTATATTAGAGATAATAGTCACATAGAGTTTCCTGCCCAAGCTGGCTTCAAACGGCGATCCTTGGGGCTCAGCCTCCTAAGTAGCCAGGATTACAGGCTTAAGCCACTGGTGCCAAGTCTGATGAGTACCTTTCTTTTAGGACAATGTCACCCCCTCTCTCACTCTCTCCGTTTTTCCCTCCTGTCCACACCCACAAGCTGTATAGCTCATTTTAAATGTAGTGTCTTATTGAGTATCATATTTCTTTATATGTGTGTATTTGTGTATGTGTGTGTGCCAGTCCAGTTCTAGGGCCTGAATTCAGGGTCTGGGTGCTATCCCTGAGCTTTTTTGGGGGGCTAAACACTAGTGCTCTACCTCTAGAACATCAGCTCCACTTCCAATTTTTTTTGGAGCTTAATTCCTGTCCAGGCTGGCTTTGAACTGCAATCCTCAGATTTCAGCCTCCTGAGTAGCTATGATTACAGGCAGAGAAGTAAGACTTAAGTTCCATCAAAACAAACTCCTTGGGGCTTATGTCCATGCACCTCTTACTCTGCTTGTGTCTCTGATGCCTTTAACAATGTTTGTTATATAGTAGACACTTAGTAAATGTGTGCTGAACAGGACCCTGCCCTCCAGGTCTTTGAACCAGTCCTCACAAACACCCTCCAAACCTTAAAGCATTCAATTTCCCCAACACCATCAATTAGGCAGACAGTAAAGCAGGCCAGTTCCTCTTCCTCTTCTTTATTGCCATCCTGGCAATAAAGTCCTGGTTCTTAGCAACCTCATCATCATAAGCCCAGTCCCTAGCAACAGGGATCCCGCTTCCTAGCAACAGGACGCAGACACAAGCAACTGAAGCCCATATCCCTAGCAACAGGGTCCCAGACTTAACCAACCTGGTCCCAGCCCTTAGGAACAGAGAGGCTGGCCCCTAGCAACAGGATCCCAGCCTTGACAACCTTGGTCTCAGCTCTAGCAACAAGGCCTGCAGCCTTGGCAACGCGATCTCAGACCCAAGCAATAGGATCCTAGCCCTACGGCCCCGGCATCACGAAGCCCGCTCTCTCCCAACGCTGCAGGGCTCTGGTGCATTTGGCAAAATGCCTGCAGGCCGGAACAACACACCCGAGGAGAGGCCAGGGGTGACTAGATCTCCCCAGGAGCGAACCAGGGGTGACAAAGGAGTAAGCCTGACTCCCGCAGCCCCACCGCCCACTGCAGACACCTCCTTCCCGCGGGCCAGTGCGGCACACTGAGCCCAAGTCAGGCAAGGAGGCGCGAGGGTGGCCGGGAGCTGTGGGCGTGGCCCAGGCTTAGAGGGGCTGGGGCTGAAGTGGGGGCGGGGTCCTAGCGCAAAGGGGCGAGGCTTGGGGAATGATGGACAGGATCCTGGAGGAATAGGCGGGGTGGACACGGAGGGGCGGGGACGCAGAGACACTGGGACTGGAGACGGGGCGGGACCTCTGGTGTAGGCGGGGCCTCTGCGCGGGCAGGGCAGAGCGTGAGTTGGGCGGGGGTTCTTAACAGAGGGAGTGGTTTGTGGTGATTGGACTTTGAAAGCAGTGTTTGTGTGGGCGTGGCTTGTGGTGAAAAGGTGAAGGGGGCGTGGTTTTGTGGTGGGCGTGGCTTCGTGAGGGTAGGGGTCTGTGTGGGGCTGCTTAAGGCAAGCAGGTGTCTTGGGGCATGGTTTGTGATGGGCGGGGCTTTATGGGAAAGGGCTAGGTGTGGTTTGTGTTGTGGGCGTGGCCTGAGGTGGGCGGGCATTGTGGGCGTGGCTTGAGAGGTGCTGTGGTAGAATGCCATCCTGGAGCAGACAAAGCTAAGGGACACTTGGGCGTCGGTGACACACACTTGTGATCCTAGCTACAAACGAGCCTGAGATCTGAGGATCTTGGTTCAAAGCCAGCCCAGGCAGGAAAGTCCGTGAGACTCTTATCTCCAATGAGCCACCAGAAAACCAGAAGTGATGCTGTGCTTCAAGAGGTAGAGCGCTTGCCTTGAGCCTTCTTAGGGATAGTGCCCAGGCCCTGAGTTCAAGACTCACCATCGGGAGGAGGGGAGGGGGAAGCCAACCTTGTCAAGACAGTCAATGAGACTCTTATTTCCAATTAATTATCAAAAAATAAATAAAGTCGAAGTGGAGCTGTGGCTCAAATGCTACACGCTAGCCTTGAGCAAAACTACTCAGGGACAGCACCCAGACCCTGTACTGTTACATGTGCATGCACATGCACGCACGTGCGCGCACACACACACACACACACACACACACACGTTTGAGCCCAGGCAGAGGTTAGCCAGACCTTTGATCTCACCCCATCTCCATCTGTGTATAGCAGGCCTCCTGGGGGAGCCCCTCCCAGTCCACCGTCCATCTAGATTGTGGGCTGCTCTGACTCTACCAGGCCAGGCCAGCCCAGCAGCCTGTGTGATGTGTGTGGCCCCAGGCCCGTCCCCTTATTGACCACTAGAGGGAAGATTCTAGCTCTAAACTGCCTAGGCCTCCCCAGAGCCTCTCCCATTCAGCATCTCTTCATGGACTGACCTTCAGCCCTTCCCACACCCCTGCCCCAGCCACTCCCAGAGATGTGACACTTCCCTCCAGCCACCTCTCTGTGTCTGCCCACACTCCTCTCATCAAGTATTCTCCCATTTCTTTGGAGATCCCTAGTTATTCCTTCACCCCCAGTGGCCCTCTTATCCAGAAATGCAAAATGTATAAGTGTTCCCCTGGCCAGCACCAGCCCTGTAAAGTGCACCTGTGTCTAACTATGGGGCTGATGAAGAAGGCCAGGGTTCTGGTGTTTTCCAACAGGACACAAAGCACCCGTGGTGGGACCACACAGACTTTATTCTCCAGCTCTGGATGGGAAGTATAGGAAGCCCATGAAATGGGCTGTGGTCAGTCCTCTTGTTGCAGAACCCTGCAGCTGCTGGCTGCAGAAAGAGGCTGACTGCTTGTGCCTCTCATTCTGGCAAAGGCAGGAGCCGCAGGGGAGCTGGAAGGTGTGTGTGCTCTTCAGCTTGTGTCCGCCAGTGTTTCCACAGACAATAGGTAAGCATCGCCAGCAGAAGCAGCCCCAAGACCAAGCTGCCTACCCAGGGGGCAGTGGGTGGTTGGACAACCTCAGGACCTGGTGCTACAAAAGCAGGAAAAAGCATGGTCAGGCCTCTGTAGGCCTCCATCTCATAGTACTAACCCAGGTTTCTCAAGCCTGACAATGGACTTTCTAATTGAGATTTTTCATAGAACCTTACAATTCAGAAGTGGAAGCTGGGTGCTGGTGGCTCACACCTGTCATCCTAGCTACTCAGGAGGCTGAGATCTGAGGATCACAGTTCAAAGCCATCCTGGCCAGGAAAGTCCGTGAGACTCTTATCTCCAATCAACCACTAGAAAACCAGAAGTGGCGCTGTGGCTCAAGTGGTAGAGTGCTAGCCTTGAGCAAAAGAGTTCAGGGATAGTGCCCAGGCCCTGAGTTCAAGCCCAAGAAATAGAAGAAAAGAAAAAGAAATCAAACAATTTAGAAGTGGGTTCACCAATGAGGTGGCCACTGCTTTAACTTGCATGTGAAATGCAGCCAGTCTGGATAGAAAACAGCCATCCCTCACAACCACACTGCTTCCCAAAGACAGTGCAAAAACTGCACAACGTATTAAAAAGAACCAAATGTGCAGTCTCAGATTCACATACTATACATGATATACATACATAATATACTGCAGGGCCCAGTCTTTTCTAGGCAGGCCCACTGACACTGAGCCACCCCTCCAACCCAACCTTCTTATATTTTGTTTATTTGGTGCTGCTCCTGGAGCTTGAACTCAGGGCCTGGGCATTGTCCCTGAGCTTTTCTCAAAGCTGATGCACTACCACTTGAGCCACAGCTCCATCTCCAGACTTTCGTTGGTTAAATGGAGATAAGAGTCTCACAGACTTTCCTGTCCAGGATAGCCTCAAAGCACAGTCCTCACCTATCAGCCTCTTGAGTAGGTAGCTAGGGTTACAGGCATGAGCCACCAGTACCTGGCTTCCAGTCCTTTTTGTTTTCATTATTTTTGGAAGTGCCTGTTTTTTCAAGGGTCAAGTCATAATTAAATAGGGGATTGGAACCTTGGACCTTCAGATTAAAAATCTGATGCTCTACTGACTGAGCTATCTGGGCCCCTTTGCTTTAGTCAATTTGGGATAGGGTCTTGGGATAGGGTCTTGTGCTTTTGCCCAAGCTGGCCTCAAACTCTCTTACAAAATGCTTTGAGATTTACATGATTCCTGGAATCTCCAAAGGATTCACAGCCAGAGGCTCACTGGACAGATGGGGAAACTGAGGCTGCACAGGAAGTTGCAACATCTTTTGTTTTTGTTTTTGTTTTTTGTCTGAGACCAGGACTGAAACTGGGTATCTGATGCTTTCACTCACTGGCTGGTGTTCTACCACCTAAGCCGTGCCTCCAACCCCAACAATTTATTTTATTTTATTTCATTTTTTTTGTCGGTTGGTCGTGGGGCTTGAACTCTGGGCCTGGGCGCTGCCCCTCAGCTCTTCAGCTCAAGGCTAGTGCTCTACCACTTGAGCCACACACCACTTCCGGTTTTCTAGTGGTTTATTGGAGATAAGAATCTCACAGTCTTTCCTGCCCGGGCTAGCTTTGAACCTCGATCCTCAGATCTCAGCCTCCTGAACAGCTAGGATTACAGGCGTGAGCCTCGGCGCCCGGCCCCAACAATTTCTTATGTAAAGTTTTGATATAGGGAGTCTTGCCCCTCCCAATCTGTCCCAGGCACCAGTACTCACAGGTTTTCGGGAACACTTGGCCAGGTACATACAGGCTTGCCACCTGGCCACCTGGGTCCAGGCGACACTGGAACCAGCCCCCGGGGACGGAAGTGGCTGGTGGCACACTCAGCCATGCCTGGGCCCCGGCTTCTTTCCTATGATAGGCAGCCAGGCCCCCGGGAGCCAGGGTCCAGTGCACAGCCGTGCCGGAGCCACAGGGTGCCTCACATAGAAGCTCCCAGGGGGAGTCCTTCTCCACCGTCCTGGAGACCTGGTGGATCTCAGGGTGACAGGTCCCAGAGGAGCCGAGAACCTTGGGGCTATGTGTGGAGCTCTGCTGGGGGGTGGTGGGTAAGGAGGAGGTGGCAGGGTGTTCTGAGGAGACAGTGAGGGCCAAGTCTCTGGAGATGGCTTGGGGGGCGTCTGTGAAGGTCACGCTGGAGGACTCCCAGGAGGTGGCGCCAGGGGGCGCTGGTGAGGTCTGGCTGTGCAGGACTGAAAACAATGACCTTTTTTTTTTCTTCTTTCTTTCCTGCTGCCCCAGGACCCTTCTTCTCCTGCTACAGCTGCCTCATCTGGACCCTGAGATTGGGCCAGAACCCCGCCACAAACCCCCTTCCACACAGGACATGACAGTGGGTTGGACCAGGGCTGGTTGTCCCAGATTCTACTCACTCAGCAAAGTCAGCAGTGGGAGGCTGAGGCAGATATTGGAAAAACTAGAGCTTCGGGGCTGGCACCAATAAGGTGAATTAATAAGTGTCTCTTGTGGGCTGGGAAGGTGGCTTAGTGGTAGAGCGCTTTCCTTGCATGCATGAGGCCCTGGGTTCGATTCCTCAGCACCACACAAGCAGAAAAAGCTGGAAGTGGCGCTGTGGCTCAAGTGTTGTTAGAGCACTAGCCTTGACCTGAAGAGCTGAGGGACAGTGCCAGGCCCCATGACTGGCAAAAAATAAAAATTAAAAAAAAGTGTCTCTTGTTATCACATGAAAACATGCTCAAAAAACAAAGCCCAGCCAGGCACTGGTAGTTCACTCTTATAATCCTAGTTGCTCAGGAGGCTGAGATCTAAGGATGTGGTTCGACAAAGACAGCACAGACAAGAAAGTCCAAGAGACTCTTATCTCCAAAAGGCTGGAAGTGGAGTTGTGGCTCAAATGGTAGAGCATAAAAGTTCAGGGACAGCACCCAAGCCCAGGGTTCAAGCCCCAGGACTGGAAAAACAACCAAGTCCAGGGCTGGGAATGTGGCTCAGTGATAGAGTGCTTGCCTACCATGCATGAAGCCCTAGGTTCGATTCCTCAGTACCACATAAACAGGAAAATCTGGAAATGGAGCTGTGGCTCAAGTGGTAGAGTGCTAGCCTTGAGCAAAAGGAGCTCAGGGCCAGGCACTGGTGGCTCACACCTATAATCCTAGCTACCCAGGAGGCTGAGATCTGAGGATTACAGTTCAAAGCCAGCCTGGACAGGAATGTCCATGAGACTCTGATCTCCAATTAACCACTAGAAAACCAGAAGTGGCGCTGTGGCTCAAGTGGTAGAGTGCTAGCCTTGAGCAAAAGAGCTCAGGGACAGTGCCCAGGCCCTGAGTTCAAGCCCCATGACAGAGAGAGAGAGAGAAGCAGCTTAGGACAGTGTTCAGGCCCTGAGTTCAAGCCCCATGGGAGAGCACTATGACCAGTCTCACAGAAAGTGGGGTTCTGGGTGTGGACAGCAGGCTTACCTGGAAAGGCTCGGCAATGACTTTGTTCCAGGCCAGGTAATCGCATGGTAGCCCTGCAGAGGAGGGCAGGCAAGGTGGAGATTGCCAAGGCAGGCACCCACCAACGCTCCGTCACTTGGAACAGGGGACCCTCTGCTTCCTGGAGATCCTCTTCTTCCTCCTCACGACCCAGGGCCTGGACACCCTCTAGTTCTTGGCCTCCTAGAAGCAGGGTGAAGAAGAGGGTGTCCGGGCCCACGGGGGTGACGTTGTGAGCTGTGCAGGATACTTCTTGGCTCTGTCCAGGCACCAGAGCTGTTGGGGACACTGCCAGCTGGTCCGGGAAGGCTGGGGAAGAAGGGGGAAGCCAAGGCTGAACCCAGTGGAAAGTGTGAGTCCAGGATGAGGAGGTTGTGGGCCCCAAGTAGCCAGGACAAGCCGGGGCTGGGAGAATTCAGGGCGGGTGGGGGAGAACAGTGAAGCTTGGCAATCCGGGGAGGGGAGGCTGGCAGGATGGGGAGGGGCAGAGCAGGAACAGGACTGAATGGGACCTCACCATACACGAGAATCTGCACGGAATGCTGGAAGCTGCGGGCCCCGCAGGAGCCCACGCACCTCCGGGTGCCCGTGGCTGACAGCGTAGCCTCGTGCACAGAGAGCACGCTGATGCCAGGGCTCGACTGCACGGCGCCCTGGGTGATGTCCAGGCCATGCCACTTCACCAAGGCTACCATGCCATCCGTGCAGGATAAACTGCAGTTGAGCTGGCATGACCCGCCCATTGGCACAGAGATCACCGGCTCCGGGGGCTCCACTTGGAGGGGCTGGCCTGTGGGGACAGGGCGCTCAGTGCTGCACAGCATCCACGCCAGCCCCCCCCACCCTGAGCCCCCTCTGCTGCCTGAGTCAGTGGGGAGCCACAGACCTCCCCCCCCACCCCCAGCCTTCCTCAACCTGGCTTCTTGGAGTCTCCCCTCTAGGAGAGTCCTCAAGCACCCCCTTTTGGAGCCCTTCCCCTCCCTGGGAATTCTTTGCTTTCCCCTAAGCCACCTCTCCCAGGCTCCTCCCTTCTCCAACCCCTTCCTTTGTTTTTTTTTGTTTTGTTTTGGTGCAGGTACTGGGGCTTGAACTCAGGGCCTAGGCACTGTCCCTGGGCTTTTGTTTTGTTGTTGCTTTTGCTCAAGGCTAGCACTTGACCATTTGAGCCACAGCTCCACCTCCAGCTTTAATTGGAGGTTAATTGGAGATAGGAGTCTCTTGGACTTTCCTGCCCAATCCTTAGATCTCAGCCTCCTGAGTAGCTAGGATAACAGTAGTGAGCATCAGCCTGTGTCTGCCTTCCGTTTTCCTAAACCTTCTCTCCCCCCCCCAGCTCTGCCTCTGTCCTACACCCCTCCCATCCCCAACCCCTTTCCTTCTCTAACCCCCTCCTAAGCCCCTTCCCCTCCCAGCCCTCATTCACTTACCATGGCCTGGCTGGAGGAACCCCAGGGACATGGACAGGGCCAGCACGATGGTTAGGCCGTGCTTCATGCTGATCCCCTCTGTCCTGCTGCCAGAGCGGGAAGCGGTTTAAATAGCAGGGGCCCCGGCTGCTTCCCCACCCCCTCCCCTTGCTGCTCCCCAGGGGGTTTCCTGGGGGGGCTTTCCCAGCCTGACCCTCCACCCTGGAGATGGCCGGCAGGCAAGGGCTGGAGGCCAGATCTTCAGCCAGCACCCCAAGACTGCAGTTGGAACAGACTGGATGGAAAGGTATGGGCTGGTTCCCGGCCCTGTGTTTTATGGACGGGAAGGCAGAGGCTGAAGGCTTGAGGCGGAGGTGTTGAGCATGGAGGTCAAGTGTATGGAAATCGCAGGCTGCACACTCGCAGCTCCCCACACACACCCCTCCCAGGTCAGCCAAGCTACACCTTCACTTCCGCAGACAGCCACCCAGGGGCAGCAGAGAGCAGCCTCCAGGACGGCATGCCAGAGAACCTTTGAGACCCTGCCATACCTGGAAAATGTCTCCATGACCCTGCGCTGCCTCCCTTCATCGTAAGACGAAGATCGGAGCCAGGCTGCTGTGATCCTAGCTTCCTCAGGAGGCTGAGATCTGAGGAGCATGGTTTGAGGCCAGCTGGGGCAGGAAAGTCTGTGAGATCTCCAATAAAGCACCAAAAAGCCAGAAGTGGAGCTGTGGTTCAAGCGGTAGAGTGCCAGCCTTGAGCAAAAGAAGCTCAGGGACGGGCAGGGAAGGTGGCTCAGTGGTAGAACGCTTGCCTTGCATGCATGAGGCCCTGGGTTCGATTCCTCAGCACCACATAAGCAAAAAAGAAAAAAGCCGGAAGTGGTAGAGCTTGGGGGACAGCGCGCAGGCCCAGAGTTCAAGCCCCACAACCGGACACATACACACAAAAAAAAAAGAAGAAGAAGAAGAAGCTCAGGGACAGTGCCCAGGTCCTGAGTCCAAGGACTGGCACCAAAAAAAAAAAAAAAAAGATGGGAGACTTGCATTTAGGGGCCACTTGATGGATAGGACTGGGCCTTAATCTCCCAGCTGCCTTTACTGAATCTGAGATTTTTTTTTTTCCAGTCCTGAGGAAAACCTAAAGTCAGTCCTTCATGACCTGCCCTCATCTCTTGCAACCACAGGGCCTTTGCTCAAGCTGTTTTTGCTCCCTGCTCAGTCTTTGCCCAGATGGCTCAGGCAGTGCCCCTCACCTGCCAGCCTCCTCCTCTGACTTTCTCTAGGTGAGGGCGTGGCTGCGCGTGAGGTCCTTGCACCTGTACCTGAGGGCTGGCTGTGGTCTGCTTCCACCAGGACCTCACACCTCTCAGGCATGCAGGAAGAGAATAGAGGGGCTCAGGATTGGCCTCGACGGACCTCTGGTGTGGCCTGTGACTCAGTTTTCCCCGCTTACCAGCCTGGGTCCTTTCAGTTCCTATAGTCCAGGAACATGGGAGCTGAAAGTAGAATTTGGAAACTGAGGCATAGACAGAGGAGTCTATGTCAGGCCTGATGGGTCCAGGTATGAGGATGCCCCGACCAGGCTCCCTAGGGCCCATCCCCCCCCATGCCCAGTGTGGTGCCAGGAAGTCAGGCAGGAAGGCAGCCTCCAGGACACAGGCCCTTCTTCCGGAAACTGGGCCCTTGACCCAGGCGGGGGGCCATGAGCCTCATGAATGGGTTGCTTCCCCGCCCTGAGCTGGCTTCCTGCTACCCTCACACCAGCCCAGGGGAGGGGTCAGGCAGCTGGAGCCCTGCAGGCCGCTCCTCAGCCTGAGACACGTACCACCACGGTCCACGCACATCCCCAAACCTTCCACACTCACTGTGGTCGGGAAGGGATGGGTGGGCTGGACAGAGGAAGAGCATTTGCAAAGGGCTGGGAAGGGAAGGCAAGGTTGAGAAGCACAAGGAGACAGAGGGATAGAGACAGAGAAGCAGAAGCAGAGAAAGACAGAGACAGAAAGACAGAGAAGCCGGGCGCCGGGGGCTCACACCTGTCATCCTACCTACTCAGGAAGCTGAGATCTGAGGATCTCGGTTCAAAGCCAGCCTGGGCACAAAAGACCGTGAGACTCTTATCTCCAATAAAACACTAGAAAACCGGAAGTGGCGCTGTGGCTCAAGTGGTAGAGCATTAGCCTTGAGCTGAAGAGCTGAGGGACAGCACTCAGGCCCAGAGTTTAAGCCCCACAACCGACCAGAAAAAAAAAAAAAAAGACAGAGACAGTGGCAGAGAAAAAAAAAAAAAATAGAGACAGACAGAGACAGAAGCAGAGAGAGCGAGGACACAGAGACTGGAAACACAGAAAATTCCAGGGATAGAGACAGACACAAAGAGAGACAGAGAAAAGCACAGAGACAGACACTGAGAGACAGAATCACAAGCAAAAGAGAGAGAGACATGGAGGGGATGCTCCTGGAGTTCTGAATGAGGTAACCATGGGCACCCATGCCCTTCCCCCCTCCCCCAGCATGGCTGGACCCTGTTTGAGGCCACACCTGAGGCATCTCTCATCCTCAGCCTCTTCCTTGGGAGCCCGGCCTGGACTTCCTGTGGCCCTGGGCCCTGACCCTGTCTTCCCCTTCCCGGCATTGCATTGTCCTGCTGGGAGGAAGTCCTTAGGCCTCCTTCCACCGAGGGGCTAGCCCTCCCCGGAGATCTGACATTCTGGCCTCCTAGTCCACAGTGCAGTGGAGAATGTTTCAGAAGACTGCCATCGTGCAATGAGAAGGGGCTGCGGTGGGGAGCCCGGCTCACCCCCAGGAGGCTAAGAACTAAGGATCACAGTTCAAAGCCAGCCTGGGCAGGAAAGTCCATGAGACTCCTATCCTAAATTAACTACTAGAAAACTGGAAGTAGCGCTGTGGCTCAAAGTAGTAAAGCACTAGCCTTGAGCAAAAGAACTCAGGGACAACACCGAGGCCCTGAGTTCAAGTCCTATGACCAACAACAACAAAAATGCATTCAGGCACTGGTGTCCATGCATGTAATCTTAGTTATCCAGGAAGCTGAGATCTGAGGATCATGGTTTGAAGCCAGCCCAAGCAGGAAAGTGTATGAGACTTTCATCTCCAATTAAGTACCAAAAAAGCCAGAAATAGTACTGTGACTCAAGTTGCAGAATGCTAATTTTAAATAACCCTCAGGAGCAGCACCTGGGCCTTGAGTTCAAGCCCCAGGATTGGCACATGCAAGCAAGTACCGTGCACACACACACACACACACACAAGAATACAAAAATGGCTGAAGGCATGGCCCAGGTTGTTGGTAACGCTTCTGGCTGGCACAAAGGAGGCCCTGAGTTTAATCCTTAGTATCACCACATAAAAGTAAATAAATGTGTGTGTGTGTGTGTGTGTGTGTGTGTGTGTGTGTGTGTGTGTGTGTGAAATGTTCACAGTGAAAATTAGGTGTCCTCATGGACACTTATGCAATAAAAAATAGTGTTTTTGCTGGGCACAGTGGCACATACCTGTAATCTCAGCATTTAGGATTAGGCAGGCAGGAAGACCATGGGTTCCAGGCCAAGTTGAGCTAACAAGACCCTGACTCAGATTTTTTTTTTTTGCTTTGGTTATGGGGCTTGAACTCAAGGTCTGGACGCTGTTCCTGAACTTTTTGCTCAAGGCTAGCCCTCTACCACTTTGAGCCACAGGGCCACTTCTGGTTTTCCAGTGGCTATTTGGAGGTAAGAGTCTCCCAGACTTTCCTCCCTGAGCTGGCTTTGAACGGCAATCCTCATATCTCCTGAGTAGCTAGGATTACAGGCATGAGCAAGTGGCACCAGGCTTGTCTTCGATTTTGTAGTATGTATGTAAAATATTCAGTACTAGCCGGGCGCTGGTGGCTCACGCCTGTCATCCTAGCTACTCAGGAGGCTGAGATCTGAGGATCACGGTTCAAAGCCAGCCCGGGCAGGAGAGACTGTGAGACTCCTATCTCCAATAAACCACCAGAAAACCGGAAGTGGCACTGTAGCTCAAGTGGTAGAGCGCTCGCCTTGAGCTGAAGAGCTGAGGGACAGTGCCCAGGCCCAGAGTTCAAGCCCCACGACCGACAAAAAAAAAAAAAAAAAAATTCAGTACTTATTGTCAATTATATATAAAAACAATCACAAAAAAACAATCATATTTGGGTGAAATAGATGTTTGTTTGGTAAAATTTTATTTATATCACTAAAGAAGGTTGCTGGGCATATAAGCCGTTTCTGAAAAAGATTGGGCTGTTCTTTGTGTCTGGATGGGATACTCCCAAGGACACTAGAAAATAAGCACAGCTCTTGGCTGGCAGGGTGCCTGCCTTGGGGTCGCTGACCTTTGAGGGAGGTCCTCTTGTTTTCCAACCTCAGATGGAAACCTGAATGTTCCAAGAGCACAATCACCTATCCCCGCTGCCCCATGGAGTTAGGACAGCGAGCCTCACTGGGCTGTTTCTGCCCGTAGAGGGCAATGTCTAGAAGGCATTTGTGGAGTGGGTGCTCCTGAAGACGAGTAGATGGAAACTAGAGGCATTGTTCTAATGTCTGTAAGGAGGAGTACTGGGTTGGGGCCAGCAAGCCTGTGCTTGGACATTCTGGCTATGCAGAGGGGCAGCGAGCCAGATGCAGGGCTTGGGGAAAGGTTCCAGTGCCACTGTGTGGGTCAAGTTCCAGGTCCAAAGATTCTTTTTTTTTTTTTTTGAGTCCGGTTGTGGGTCCTGAACTCTGGGCCTGCGCGCTGTCCCTCAGCTCTTCAGCTCAAGGCTAGCGCTCTACCACTTGAGCCACAGCGCCACTTCCGAGTTTTTTCTTTTTGCTTATGTGGTGCTGAGGAATCGAACCCAGGGCCTCAGGCATGCAAGACAAGCACTCTACCACTGAGCCATCTTCCCAGCCCCCAGGTCCAAAGATTCTTAACAACAACAGAAAAGGATCTGTGGAAGTAATTCCAGCACTTGAGCAACTGAGGCAAGATTATGAGTTCAAAGCCAGCCTGAATTACATTGGAAGCTTTAAGTTTAAGCTACCTAGTGAGATCCTACCCTGAAAGTGGGGAGGGGGGTGGGGGAGGGCAGGGGAAAAGATTATAACTGGGTGAGAATGACTCACACCTGTAATCCTACTCAATAGGCTGAGCTCTGAGGATAGTGGTTGGAAGAGCCAGGCCAGGCAGGAAAGTTCATGAGACTCTTAACTCCAATTAACTAACAAGAAAGCAGGAAGTGGAGGTGTGGCTGGAGTGCGGTGGAATGCCAACCTTGGACTGGGAATGTGGCTTCGTGGTAGAGTGCTTGCCTAGCATGCATGAAGCCCTGGGTTTGATTCCTCAGTTCCACACACACAGAAAAGGCCAGAAGTGGCACTGTGGCTCAAGTGGTAGAGTGCTTGGCTCAAGAGGTAGAGTGCTAGCCTTCAGCAAAAGAAGCTCAGGAACAGTGCCCAGGCCATGAATTCACGCCCCAGGACTGGCAAACAACACCAATAAAAAAAAAAAAAAAAAAGAATCCCATTGAGCAAAAAAGCTCAGGGACAGCACCCAGGCCCTGAGTTCAAATCCCAGGACTGGCACAAAAAGAAAGAAGGAAAAGAAAGAAAGAAAAAAGAGGGGCGAGCGAGGGGTGGGGAAGGGAGGGAGGAAGGGGAAGGAAGGAAAAGGAGAGAAGAAAAAACGAGACCAGGAGTCAGGTTGGGTCCACCACAGCTGCTCCCTCAGCCCGGGCCTTTTTGGTACCCAGGCAGCCTGGTTGCTAGGAGACCATGCTAACGAGATCTCGCCCACAACCAAAATGGCCAGCGAGCCAGCTTCATTCCAGAAACCAAGTCCTTCCCGGTGAGCCATTTTGGAGTCTGGCAAAACTACAGTTTCCGCACTGAGTCCAGGAAACACGGCAGAGTACCAGTGAGGACCTTAGGAAACGTGGCCTGCGGCAGTTATTTCCACGAGTCTTCCCGAGGGAGTGGCATGGGAAAAAGCATGCTCTGCCCTTAGGCAAAATGGCCGCAGAGCGGCCTCATGGTGCCATCAAAGATGGCGGCACTTCCGGTCCTGCTGCCCTCAGCGAAGATGGCGGCAGGAGAGAAGCGGCGGCCGTTGGTAGCCACGGCGGCGAATTACACGGACGGCGGCCGACCCTCGGTGTCGCGGAGCGCGGCGGCCGCCGAGAGCGAGGAAGACTTCCTGAGGCAGGTCGGCGTAACCGAGATGCTGCGTGCAGCCCTGTTAAAAGTGCTGGAGGCGCGTCCCGAGGAGCCCATCGCCTTCCTGGCGCACTACTTCGAAAACATGGGCCTGCGCTCGCCGGCCAACGGCGGCGCCGGGGAGCCTCCCGGGCAGCTCCTCCTGCAGCAGCAGCGCCTGGGCCGCGCGCTGTGGTACCTTCGCCTGGCTCACCACTCTCAGAGGTGCGGGCCGACGTTTGGGCGGGGCGGCCGGACTACAGTTCCCGGCATGTCTTGCACGAGCCCGCCCTTATCTCCAGCGCAGGTTTGCTGGGAGTTGAAGCGCAGGGCATGCTGGGAGTTGTAGTCCGCATCCTCCCCACCCCTTTCCCCTTCTTGCATGCATTTCTGAACTGTGGGGTGGCTACAATGCTGGGCCTGCAGACCTCCAGCCGAGTCAGGCCCAGCGAAACGGGCGGAGGGGCCCCACAGAATTCACGGCCGTGGGCAGGAGGCCTGGCAGGTGCACTGTTGGAAATTGATCTAGAGCTGGGCACAGAACCCCCACTTCTCCTCCACCCCCCATGAGGCTCCAGCCCCTAGCTGGAGAGAGCAATCTGGAGTCAGGGATTGTTGGGAGCCTTGGAGGCGGCCAAGAAACGCATGTTCCATATGGATGAAGGGACTTGGGATGTAAACCGGGGGTGATTGACTGGAGATGAGTGGGCTTGTGTCTGCTGGTCCCCAGAAGCAGAGCCTGAGATGGGTATTTGCATGGACCTGGAAGGAAGTGGGAGGAGGGGAAGGGCCTGGAGCTGACAAGAAAGGGTGACTTCCCCCAGTCCCCAAGGGAGCTAAAGTCCAGGGTTTGTAAACAGGTTTTGTTTTGCCTGGTTTTGTTTCTTTGTGCCAGTACTAGGGCTTAAAATCAGGGCCTAGATGCTGTCACATAGCTGGAGGTGGGGGGGGGAGGGTGTTGCATGCGCGAACATCAGTGTTTAAACTCAGGGACTAGGTGCTGTCCCTGAGCTTTTGTTGCTCAAGGCTAGTGCTCTACCACTTGAACCACAACTCTACTTGTGACTTTTTCCGTGTTTAGTTGGACATAAAAAATTCAGACTCTCTTGCCCAGGCTGGCTTTTAAGTCTCAGTCCTCAGATCTCAGCTTCCTGAGTAACTAGGATTACAGACATAAGCTACCAGCATCCGGCTCCCTTAGCTTTTGTGCTTAAAATTAACACCCTAACTACTTGAGCCACAGCTCCACTTTTGACTTTCCTGTAGTTAACTGGAGATAAGAGGCTCACATACTGTTCTGTGTGGACTGGCTTTGGATTTTGATCCTGAGATCTCAGCCCCCTGAGTAACTAGGATTACAGTTGTGAGCCATTGGCACCCAGCTAGGGTTTATAAATGTGATGATTACCCCCTTACCCCTTGTTAGGGCCTGCCAGAAAACCACCGTGACACCCAGGCACACAGAGCAAGCATAGGGACTGACAAGGCCAGTTCTCACAGGAAGAAGTGCCCGTCTTTGTCTGAGGTGATCTAGATAACCTAAGGGACTAGGAGGTGGGGACCTTGGTGCAGAGATGTGGGCCAGGGACTTCATCATGGCGGGCTAGAATTTACGGCAGCTGCCCAAGTAGAGGATAAGGGGCCTGCAGCTGGCCAGTGAAGATCACTTTAAGGGGGTTCTGTTACCTCATATGGAGAATCATCTTAAGGTGAGGAGGAAGGAGGCCGATTATTTACTGCCTCCACCAAATTGGCCTAGTGCTCTATTTGCTCTAAGAAAGGTGCCTGTGAGGTCCTGGGAAAGGAGCCTGTTGGACTAACATCCCTCCGAAGGAAAGTCTCCTTAGAATCAAAGGTGAGGATACGAACCAAATGGGAAAGGAGCTCCCAAGATGGCAGTGAGGAAGGGAATCTGCGGGGTGTGGGAGGCTATTGGGCCCCAGTGTCTGTGAGGACAGAACTGATCAACCTTCCCACTGACTTAGGAGGAAGTTAGTTGCAGTTCACTTGGGGCGGTGCTTGGCAAAGAAGGTAGACAGGCTGTGCAGAGACAGGGAGGGAGGGGGTGAACTGGGAGGGCCTGGGAGGTTTCCCTGAAAGAACACAAGCAAAGACCACAATCTGAGGAACCCAAGCCTCACAGAGCCTGCAGAGAAGGAAGGAGCAGGAAAAAGCCGGCCAGGCCACTGGTGGCTCATCCTGTAATCCTAGCTACTCAGGAGGCTGAGATCTGAGCATTACAGTTCAAAGCTAGCCCAGGCAGGAAAATCTGTGGGATTCTTTATCTCCAGTTTACCTCCAAAAAGCCAGAAGTGGAGTTGTGGCTCAAGTAGTTGAGCACCAACCTTGAGCAAGAAAGCTCTGCATTCAAGCCTAGTACCAACATACTCAGAAGTGACTTTTCCAAGGGGGAAAAGTGATCAGTGGCAGCACCATCCAGCCTGGATGGAAATATTTCCTTTTTTTCTTTTTTTTGGGTCCGGTCGTGGGGCCTGAACTCTGGGCCTGGGCGCTGTCCCTCAGCTCTTCAGCTCAAGGCCAGCGCTCTACCACTTGAACCACAGCACCACTTCGGCTTTTTTCTTTTTGCTTATGTGGTGCTGAGGAATCGAACCCAGGGCCTCATGCATGCAAGGCAAGCGCTCTACCAATGAGCCACCTTCCCAGCCCCTATAGGCACATTTTATTACAAATGAGGGAAAACATTCAGTCTATGTTTCTTTATGTCTGGCTTACTTCACTTAATATACTTT